ACACACACACACACACACACACACACACACACACACACACACACACACACACACACACACACACACCCACACACACACACACACACACACACACACACATGACCCTTGGCTGCCATGGATGTACCGTGTGAGGATATCCCAAGAAAGGCTGGATAAGATACTCTAAAAGATTCTTTCCACCTTGCATAGCAAGAGAAGACATTCTTTGTGGTGTGGATGAGAATTTGTGGTCCGACAAACAGGAACATCAGGAGGTATAGAAAGACTGCTATGCAATTCCTACAGCGCTGCATGCACTGTTTTCCCTAAGAAGATGGTCGAACAGTATGTTCACATTTTTACTTTAGCTTCTTCTTTATTTCTTCTTTTTTGTCTTTGTGCTCTGCAGTGCTTTTCCTTTCTGTTTCACAATGACATGGTCTTTCAACAAATTACATTACAAACATTAAAAGTATAAATGTCAGTCTTGTCCAGTCTCCTGCAGTCTACCTCCCACAGTTACAGTTTGCAATAAATGTCCTCAAAAAAAGGATCTGTTTACATCAGAACTTCCACCAGATGACAACATGACACAGAGGCTCTTTGTTACAGCTTACCCCAGTAGTGGGGCAGGATGTAATACATGCTGGGGTGAGTTGTAACAAGAAGTCAAAAAAAGCAAAAATAGAGGCTATGTTGTAGATTTCATTTTACAAGTTTATTTGAGGAATAGCTACAAAGTTTCACGTATTGAGAGTGAGACACGCATCTGAGCTCTCCACACGCTCACATGCCACGCCCCCACTTTCTCACGCTGAGAACGGACTCAACTCAAGCAAAAACTCAACTCCGGTCCACTTTTTTTAATTATAAAAACACAAGTATTGATATGAATCCAGTCCACGTTTTCACTGCAACCCGTGATGTTACACACAAGGACATGCCAGGTGGTTTTCCAGTCCGTATTTCGCAACAACTTTCTCTCTACCTGTAAACAGTCTGCAGTTGAGCGGGAGAAGATGGAGAAACCTAGTGAGCTCCCTCCCACATTAAAAAAAACAAGGAAAAGAGGTGAGCAGCACGGGTAAAATTATCAAACACGTTAGAAAGAAAGAACAAATAGATGAATGGAGCAGAGAAACTAAGAAAAGCTTGTGAAAGATGCAGCCTAATGAGTTAAATAAACAGATTTTCTGTGATGAAGGGGCCGAGGTCAGGCTGAAGCCAGAGACACCAACAGAACCAGGTTAGCTCTGTCTACATGCACCATCATCACAGACTGAGTTTATATGTATATGTTTGTGTTTATGAATGTGTGCATGCTCACAGAACATTAAACACAGCAGATCAGAAATGTTTCACCATACCTGCAGAAATCTTTAATCTGCTTAAATAACAAATTAAAATCAGTTCAAACTGACTGACTAAACATAACATCTGATCAAGACGATGTTTAATACTGACATTATTCAACCTTTAAATCTGACAGGTCTATAAAGTAGTTATTACAGTCAATTTCTAGTGTAGGATGTAGCCAACAGGATGCAGGAACAGGTGAAACTCCCCAACACCAACAAACCCTAACCTTACCCAGTGCGAGTGTAGCCCCTTGACTGCATCCCAGCGGGGAGTGGTCGGAGCCTCACAAGCGCTGGGGTCTCCAGGTGATGAGGACACCGACATGATGTTGGTGT